TGTAGGTTCATTTTTGTACATGGCTCTTTGTTTTCAATCTGTCAAGCTGCTCTGTCTTTGGTTTATATGTACAGTATTATTTCCGTTCAGCTTGTGTTAGGTCCTAGTGGAGTCCTACAGGGAATCAGACCAGGCAAATGTTACATAGAGATGTCAACCGTTGATCCAGAAACCATCACCGAGCTCGCACAGGTAACCAACATCATCTAGACAGGTCTTTCATGACATTACCAGGGGAAGTCCATTACTAAGGTTCATTTGAATCTGTAGGTCATCACATCCAGAGGCGGCAGATTCCTAGAAGCTCCGGTTTCGGGCAGCCAGCAGCTTTCCAATGACGGTATGCTGGTCATTGTTGCTGCAGGAGACCGCAGTGTTTATGAAGACTGTAGCAGCTGCTTCCAGGCAATGGGGAAGACGTCTTTCTTCATAGGTACTACATCATTTCAGTCGTGCTGTGTGGCTGTATATGAGGCTGATGTTGCATGTTTCCACATGATATTAACTTTGTCTTTTCTATCGAAGCAGGGGAAGCAGGAAATGCTGCACGAATGATGCTGATCCTTAACATGGTTCAAGGCAGTTTCATGGCAACCATCGCAGAGGGATTGACCTTGGCGCAGGCCACGGGACAGTCACAACAAACATTCTTGGATATTCTTTGCCAAGGACAAATGGCAAGCACGTTTGTGGACCAGAAATGCCAGAGTAGGCTTACTTGTTATTTTTTTACAATTCTGATTAGAAGCCTCTCTGTATAATAGTCGTTTATAATAGCAGTTGTCATAGTTACTATGTTTTATGTGTTGGTAGATTTGAGTTTACCTTTGAATCTTCCTGCCAATTAACCATTTTCTGTAACATGGTGCTGCTTGGAGATCGTAGTCTTTGGTCTTAATGTGAAACGGTGTCCACCCAAAAGCCAATGTAGTCATTTATTGCACAAATTTAATTACAGAAATTTTGTAAAACATAAATGGAAACTGGTGACTATTAGAATCAAGAGGCAACATAGTATGACAGTTTAACTTTTTTGGAAATATTAAAATGATACTACAATTGAGCTTATTTATTTAACATTTGACCTGTTTCTTCTCAGATATCTTGCAGGGCAACTTCAAACCTGATTACTACCTGAAACATATTCAGAAAGATCTGAGATTAGCTATTTCAATGGGAGATTCGGTTAATCATCCAACACCAATGGCGGCTGCTGCAAATGAGGTAAAACAGCATTAGTATTCGGTAGCTGAATGGATTATAATATGGCCACAATTGATGCTTCATTGAGTTTTGGTAGATTGACCATGTAAGCTAACTAATGTATATATTTTTAGATTCTGTAATGCAATTTGATAGTAATCTAAATTTAACCAAAGAACTGAATTAAACTGTAATATGCATATTTAATTGAAGTATATGGATATTTAATAGTAATTTCCCCTATTTTTACATTTAGATTACTTTTACCAGAATATAATACTCAAAGTTAATCTTTAAAAACACTAATTTAATAAAGCGGTTAAATGTAATCTTTAGCAAATCTCAAAATGAATATCCATTTTTCGTTATACATAATATTGTGATGCCTAAATTCATTTGTAGCATTTAAAACTAAATTTTAGTTTTAGTGTTTTAATTTTTTTTAACCCCCACCCACCCTTAGTTTTAGAGGTCACTTGTTCACTAGTAAATGATTTTGTTTTTATTGCCTTATCAGAAATGCAGTATTTTTTTATGTTTTGAAACCCCCACCCACCCTTAGTTTTAGAGGTCACTTGTTCACTAGTAAATGATTTAGTTTTTATTGCCTTATCAGAAATGCAGTATTTTTTTATGTTTTGAAATTGGCTGTAATAATCACACAGAAGAAATTATTCATCATTTCCAATGAACCTAATGCTGAAAAGCATTTGTATCACAGCATTTAATTCTTTCAGCTGTTGTGGAGGAAAAAAAAATTGAAGACATTAAGTTGTGTTATTTGGAAACTTTTAAATTGGACTTGTCATATTTTGTCCAAGTCAGTCGGCTGGCAGAGTGATCTGTTGCTTTTTATTTTATTTGTATTTTTTTTTTTTGCCTAATTGCTTAAACTAATTGACTTGCCAGTTTTTATTTGAATTACCATTATGACTCATAAAAAAAGAAAAATGTAAAACAAAGTCAAGCTAACATTATGGTGCATTTTATCCCTAAATTAGGATTACATTTGTTAATTTTTAGTGATATTACAAGCCATAAATTCAGTGGCGTATAATATGGTAATTTTTTTTGTTTGTTTGTTTTTTTACACCGAACAAATACAGGGTGGTTCCTTTTCTATAAATTGTTGTTCTGACCAAAAAAAAAAAGACTTTAAAGTGCTTGGTTATGGATGATAATTTTGTGACTCTGTAAGATTAAGAAGTTGTATATATCCCCATCAAAGGGTTGGGTTATTTGAATACATGGAATAACATGCTTTCAGTTTGACTCTACTGAATTTATTAATCAGCTGTTGTCTTAATATTGTAGACTGTTCTTTTGTCTTGGCGAATGGGTTTATTTACTGTAAATGGTTTGATTTTTGTGGCTTAAACCGAGTTGGTAATGGCATACCAGTTGTGCAAGGAAGGTGTTGGTGTTATAATTGGAGCTATTTATAATTTCATGTAAATGTGAAATTTCTTTTCTTTTTTGTTTGTGCGGTCAACTGAACCCTCTGAATAAACAAACAGAATGTCCAGCTGGTTATGTATTCTTACGTCTGATGTCCGTATTTCATTTCATAAGAGTTAATATTTATGAAATGAAAGCGCAATGCCATATAAAAAATGTTGTTGTTCAAATGTAGTTTTCATTTATGGAAATTAATTTTCAAATAGGGTTTCGCGTTGTAAAAAAAACCCAACAACAATCGGGAAAATCCTGTGTTTTCCAAGCCGGAAGATTTCAAGGTTACACCAACCGGAAGTTCAGGAAAAGGAGGCGTATCATCTAATTGTTTACGAGTGATCTTCTGACTAGTGTTGCCAAGTCCGCGGTTTTCCCACGGAATTGGGCTACTTTAACACTGTTGCCGCGGGTTAAAGCGACTCCAAAAACATATTTATCTCCTGGAATGCGAATTTTATCAGGGAAACCCCGCCAAAAAACGTGTATTTTACCCCCCGGGACGCGATTTTTAACTGGGGACCCCCTCGAAACGCGATTGGGTTAGTTTTGAGTGGCGTTGGGCGGGTTTTCTTGTGAAAACCTGGCAACTCTGCTTCTACCCAGGCACACTACATAGCGGACTGTTCGAGTTATTTTCAGCAGATTTAGGACGGCTTCATTGAATTGTAATGCTCGGAGCAGAGCGATATACTCTGTCTGAACTAGCGAAGATGACGGCCGCGAGTCAAGCGGAGAGGACTGTGCTGGTGAGTGTAATACATGGCAGCTGCTTCACAGACATACGCGAGGTTATTATGCTTTGATTAAGAGCAGTCAGAGTTCAGGTGGATTGCGGTTGCAATTGAGTTTGTTGGTGCAGTTTTGCAGAGCAGCTGGTGGGACAAAGTCCAAATTCATCCTGGTGTGAATGGTTAAACAGTCGTGACACTGATTTGTTCTGCCTTATCATCGTTGCTCTGTTCGGTTTATGCATTAAGTCTGATACTGACTACTGTTTCTCCCAGTAACGCACCATACTGATCGATTTAATTCTGCAACCGAATCAAAGGGATAGTTCGCCCAGAAATGAATTTTTAAAATAATTTGCTCACCCTTGTGTTGTTGACTTGTTATTTTGTTTAAAATAAAGGCAGAATGGCTGCTTCAGGCACCATTGACTTGCACTGTATAGAGAAAAATGCAGAAAAAAGGAAGTCACACATTAGTCATGAGTGTGTGTGTAAATGGTGACAGAATGTATATTTTTAGTGAAATATGTATTGAAGGCAACTTTTTGGGTGCTTTAGGAGGAGGAATTTAATTGGCTGCTGAAAGAAGAGGTGCATGCGGTGCTGAAACAGCTGCAAGACATTTTGAAGGTAACTCCAGATACTTAAAAATTAGCTTACTACAGAATAATTCTGTATTATCGTGCAAAAAAGGGCATTAATAATAACATTTGTTTGCTTTCACCAAAGGAGGCATCAAGGCGTTTTTCAATGCCGTCACCAGGTCTGGAAGGACAGCTGAAACAAGAGAACTTCATTCTGGGCAGCTCAACGTAAGAGCCATGAAACAAGACCGTTCTGTTTGGACCATTTTAGATTTAAAGTATACAGTCATGTTTGTTTTTTGTTACTACAGTTTTATGGGAGTGCGTACAGCGCTGAAGATGTATAGAAATACTTGCATTTTTATGTATTTTTTAATTTGCACTTTTTTTTTTTTTAGGATGGACCAGGTGAAAGGTGTTTTGACGCTACAAGGAGAAGCTCTAACTCAGGCTGTAAGTGTGTTTCACACCATCATGAAAATAAAGTCAGCTTTCAGCATGAATGGCACTGCTTTGCTTCTGGTACTTCAATTGGCCTTTTTAAAATGTATGATACTATATTCAACTAAACGTCTTGATGTCAGCCAGTGGAATTGCAAAGACGCTTTGCAATGCAGTTTATCTGAGCTCAGTGATTACTTTTGCTATTATTAGAATCAATATAAAATGGGAAGAATAAAAAAATATATATTTTTCTGCAGGATATTAACATTAAAGTTGCTAAAAGCAGTCAAGTAATGCATTTTGCATTCCGAGATGATAAACAGTGGAAATTGCAGCAGGTAATGTTTCTTTCTCTTACTCTAAGATCTTTAAAAAAAAAAAATCAATCAATCAAAACAAGATCTTTAAAATGCCTTATTTCAACATGATCTCCTTTGGGGTGGTTTATATCTTATAAAAATTGCCGTTAAAACACATCCTGCCCCTATTTAGATTCAGGATGCCCGAAACCATGTGAATCAGGCCCTGCAGTTACTAAGCAGCCATGACCAGAGTTATCACTTCAAAACTGGAGCTGAAGTCAATAAGGTTTGTTTTTCACCATACACAAATATTTACAGTTGATGTCCAGGGGCCAGATTCACAAAAAAAAAAATCTTCTAAAGAAAGAAGATAAGAAATTTCTTGAAACAAAAAATCCTTGCGGGCACCAGTGATAAAACTTAAATTAAGTTCTCAAATATTTACTTAAGGTCATCTGATTTTTTTTAAGAAGGCGGCTGTCTTTTTGTGCTGCCTGCAGATTACCTTTCTTATTACTCTCTGCACTTAGTCACATTTTTTTTAACGCACCATAGTCATGTTCAAAGAGCATGTCTCAAGGTGTTGTGCTCCATCTTTCTTGTGTGCTGTACTTGTGTGTGCTCTGCTAGAGAGCACACCTAGAAATAGGTCCCTATTTGATTGTGTAGAGTCCAGCAAAAAGTCAAGTTATCTTAACTATAAAAGGTTATTTACAATGATTTTTAAGTAGATACTTTTCAGTAATCCAAATACTGCATTTCATAAGTTTTCTCTCTAGAACATTCATAAGAAATGTTTTTGAGAAAACTGGCCCCTGGTTTTCTTCGTGTGTACTTGTGTGGTTCATATGTGCAGAATTGAACTGAGTACATTTGAAGCTGTTGTGTGCTACAGGTTACTCTGAAATAGGAACATACTTTCCTTACAGTCTTAACATTTTCACTGGTACTGTATGTGAAGTGAGATTGCACTCAGTGACAAAGATTCGTGTTTCAGCTTATGGATGCAGTAATGCTTCAGTTGACCCGAGCCCGAAACAGACTCACAACCCCGGCCAGCATGACTCTTCCTGAGCTCGCAGCCAGTGGCCTAATGGTTAGTATGCAGATCGTTACTTGATCTTAATGTGGAATTCTCCATGTGCTCTTGTGAATGTTTCTACTGTTCTTTCTAGAAAATGTTCACACCTCCAATGCCTGGTGACGTGACGGTGAACTTCTATATCAATCTCAGTAAACTGTGTTTGACGGTGTATCAACTACATGTCCTGCAGCCTAACACTACTAAGGTATCAAGCCATTTTCAAGCCATCCGAATATTTTTTATTTTTTTTACAGTCATTCTTATCAAGAATGTGTGTTTTAAAATGCACAATCATTTTGTTTTCTGTTAGAACTTCAAATCAGCATAAGAAAGAAACATTTATTATTATCAACGTTGAAAACCTTGTGCTACTTAATATTTTTTATGAAAACCGTGAGCGAATTTTTTTTTCTGGATTTTTTTAATGAATAGAAAGCTCAAAAGAACAATTTATTTGAAATAGAAATGTTGCACATAAGTTTTAATCAATTTAATGCATCCTTGCTGAATAAAAGTATTTAGTTCTTTAAAAAAAAAAAAAAAACGTATTTAACCCAAACTTTGAACAGTATTGTGAAATGTGGATCAGACCAGGTAAACTCACCAGTTGTTCTTAATGATTGTCCTGTAGACTAATTCAAATACCTGTGATCCACCATTTGCTTTGCAAAACACAAAGCAAAACTTTGACACAAGGAGAGCAGATCTAAATGGAATGCTGTAATCAATACGTTTCATTACCTAACAGAAGATACATTTTCATGTTCATTTCTTTCCTTTTATTTGCAGATTTCTGTCTTCTCTAGTTTCTGGAACTACAGACCATTTTAAGCTATTTCTGACCAAAACTCTACAGTGAATGATAATAAAAATGATCTTAATTATGCTCTAGGTTGCACTATGAACAAAAAAAAATACCATGAACAATTTCCGTGAAATAATCTGTTGTGACTTTACTATATGACCGTGTATTCATTTTGTGTGCTTGTTCTGCAGAAGAGGTAGAGTGCGCTGTGTATGTAGTATATGGACTGAATTTGTTCATTTGAAACAACAGGCTCTTCAGATGAAGGTATTCAGTGACATATTTTTTGTGTTTATGCAGTATATGTCATTGTCAGTGTTGACTGTTTTTCAGTAATCTAGCCTATATTGAAGTTAACCTCATCTAATATGTGTTTAGGCTTTAGGAAGGAAAAAAACACTTTAAATCTTGGACAAGGCTAATTCAGTGAAAAGGTGTAGGCTAAGTGGATTCAGTCTTCACAGTCAGGTACAAGATTAACAGCTTAAACATACTGTTCAATGGACAAGTAAAAACAAATTCATTTCAACCGAGGCCATTTGTCAAGGACCTGCATTGGTTCCATCCAGGAAAGTTGCTTCAATAAAGTGTAACCAGAAAGTAACCAATGTCTTCAAAACTGGTGAGCATGCTTGTATATAAAAATCTGTGTTCTCTCTGATGAAGTGGATCCAGTATCTATAATGGAATGCAACTTCAATCATGTGATTTCCTGGGTAAATATTAACTGCATTTTTGCACAGTAGGGGAAGGTTTTTGCTTTTATCATCCCTATAAGGAAGTATCTACCTAAAATATTTTTCTCCTACCTCCATTATTTTACTTGTTCACACATAAATAGTGATTAGGTGGCAAAACTGATAGGGAAAAAATAGATGTAATGGTGCCTGTTGTTTCTGGAAGATCACGGCTCCATTCCCATATTGTCGACACCCACCTTCTGTCTTCTTGGCTGTAACGTTGAAACAGTTGCTGTCACCACAAATGTCATGACAGTTGTATTGTTTCATAAATCTATAGATAGGTTATCTGTGAGATTACACCAGTAGCATTCTGACCTTCTCATCACAGCAGCAGCAGCAACAGCAGCGGATGAGAACCAAGATAACCAGCAACAGGACCATGCCTGTGGACATTTAACACAGTCTTAATGATTCCTACTTATGTTCATTTCTTATTTTTGCTTAATTCTACTTGCCTATAAAGATGAAGAAAACTGCGAAAGAGGCAATGTCCCAGTCCGACTGAAACATCTTCTTTGATTGTAGTCTTGAGACCACATCATTGAACTGGTTCTCAAAATCCTGCTGTATGTTCTTATCCATGACTTCAGTAAGAAGATTCCTAGATGCAGGGAATTATATTAATTACACGCTGCTAACAAATATCTCAAAATACAAACTGAGAAAATAAAAGCCTGATGCCCATAAACGAAACCAACCTGTTCAACATTCAAATGTACTCAAATGACATCCTGAATAAACGGGAAGTTCACTAGTTTTCGACCAGAAGAACTTGTAAAAGAGATAAACTTCCTAACAATAAACCACAACGAGAATCTTAAGGTATAATATATATTTTACACTTTAGAAAAATATATTTTGAATTAAGAAACTAGAAACGATAGGGGAAACAATGGCCGCTTCTAGGCATTGTTTTACTCGTCCGTTTATCCGGTTAAAAAATGACAGACTATGAGCTCAAATTCATGCGTTTAACACTTAGGCTATATCAATACTTAAATATTTGATCGTTTCTTTTTATAATAAGCTATTAATCTTACAATCGTTAAAGTTAGGAAAATCAAAGAACTCGATCCATCCTTATGTAGACTAATCGTATATAACACATTTATTTTTGTGAAAACATTTTATTATTTTGCCTAATTTGTCATACATTGTCCTAATGTATCTTTCAGAGGAATTATCGATCTCTCACCTGTTGTTTTCGTCTGTCGTATTTCCGGGTTACTGCGTTACACCTGTCGCTGTGGCGCTAACAGGTGTGGTGTAATATTCAGTTCCTGTGAAAAACTGTTCCAGTGGGTGGAGCTACATGAATATTCATTAGTTCTCATATTGTGGGCGTGTCCTTGAGACAACGCGCAAACGAATGGAACTGAAAATATTAGTGCACGCTCTTCAAATCGCAACTTGTTTAATGTATTATTTCGAAAAGGTAACGAAGTTTCAATGTGAAGAATTAACTGCAACAGTGTCAAAACAATGCATAAGTTTGTGTAATATGATAAATCGTCTGAGCTGTTCTGCCTGAATGATTACAGGCACACAGCAGAGCAAACAAGCGAATAACCTGTGCTAAACCAGGCTAATATAGTTTTTACTCTTTGATGTGTTAAGCTTTTTATTTCATTTGTGAGACTAATTTTTGTTTGATTAGTAGCCTCCCTAGTTATCATGGGTGACTAGTACTGCAGTGTGCTTACAACAGTGCTTGAAATAAACCTCTACAAATGTATCTGTGGCCTAATAAAATGTATATAAGTTAGTCTGTTGGAGCATCCCGTGTCATTCTTAATTTCTTGTTTATTTTGTATATAGCCAGTGTTTCTGTTACCTGTATAAGCTACATACCTACTGAGAAATATTTTTTGTAGTTAAAATGCTAATCATTATAACAAACATTGCAGTTTGTAATTGATTAAATAATACAGTGCATAAACCTTTAAAGCACTGTTATGATGTCTTCTTGGACATAGGTCAGCAGCTACTCCAAGAATATTATTTTATTTTAAGAAATCATACATCATCGTCACCAATGTTATAATATGCTTTTTGTTTTCCACATATATTGATCAGCGTGTAAAGTCACTGGTTCAGATTGGATGTGAGGTCACTGTGTGAACTGGACATATATGGAGGCTGTTTTAATAATTATCTCAGACTCCAGACACTCACTTCATTTTGCATTGCTTTATTCCATATACACATATTGTTTTGAAAGTTTTCTCGTCTTTTCAATTTGAGTTATATTTATAAAGCATTTACTTTCGTACTTTTAGTAACATTTAATGATTGTAACTAATATTTATATAATCTACAATATAATTTTTATGTTTTTAATTTGCTATAAAGAGTCAAAATAAAAGACTTACTAAAAAAGATAACATTTTATTTGTTAACCTGCATGTCATGTAACTATTAACCGACATCAGAGAACTGTGAACATGAAAGTGTGTTCTTAAAGTACTGAAATATATACTAACTTTAATTATTCTCAGAAGACATTAATCTCAGGAGGAGTTGGGAGAACAGAGTTTGGCTGAAAAAAATGTTTGGGAATCCCTGTCCAACAGTGTTGAAGATCAGAAATGGTTTCATTGTGTGTGTGTGTGTGTGTGTGTATGTACAATGCCGTGAAAAGGTTTTTGCCACCTTCCTGTTTTTTTTTTTTGCATATTTGTCACACGTAAAAGATTCAGATAATCAAACCAATTTTAATATTACGCAAAGATAATGCAAGTAAATACAAAATGCTTGTAAGTGTGACAAATGTAAACCATTTAAAAAAAAAAACAGGAAGGGGGTAAAAACTTTCACAACACTGTGTGTGTGTTTACTTGAAATATATATTTCAAGTATGTGTATATACTTGAAAAATGAGAAACACTTTTGAATAAGATTTTCAGATGTTAAGCATGATTAACACAACACTGTGGATCATGACATTTTGGATGCTTTCACACACCATTCTTAAACATATGACATGAAAGTAGGTTGTTTTTCAGTGCAACAGATGGTCAAAGAACAGATACATTTTAAAGGGACAGTTCATTCAAAAATAAAAATTCACTCGCTCTCCTGTTGTTTCAAGGTTGTATGACTCATTCTTCTGTAGAAGACAGTTTGAGAAATAATGACAGAGTTGTCATTTTTGGGTGCACTTATACCTTTAATCTATTAGTGCTTGGAGATTGGTGATTCCCAAACAGGTGAATGTGGAAATATTTTGATGTTTTTTTTAATAAATAAAAAAAAACTTAAATATTTAATAATAAAAAAGAAATATGTGACATATTTGCACATTTACTTTTAAGAAATTAATAATTCTACATGATATCCAGTATAATATGAAGAAGAAAAGAACAGGATACTCACCAGTTTTGCTTATATACATTTTATTAGGCCACAGATACATTTGTAGAGGTTTATTTCAAGCACTGATGTAAGCACACTGCAGTACTAGTCACCTATGACAACTAGGTAGGCTACTAATCAAACTATTCAATCAAAATTTGTCTCACAAATGAAATAAAAAGCTCAGCACATCAAAGAGTAAAAATTATATTAGCCTGGTTAATGGTTAAGCACAGGTTATTCGCTTCTTGTTTGCTCTGCTGTGTGCCTGTAATCATTCAGGCAGAACAGCTCAGACGATTTATCATATTACACAAACTTATGCATTGTTTTGACACTGTTGCAGTTAATTCTTCACATTGAAACTTCGTTACCTTTTCGAAATAGTGCACGCTTTTCAACTCTATTTTCGGTGCCATTCGTTTGAGCGTTGTCTCAAGGACACGCCCACAATATGAGAACTAATGAATATTCATGTAGCTCCACCCACTGGAACAGTTTTTCACAGGAACTGAATATTACACCACACCTGTAGGTCTTGAAGGCAGTTCAAGGCAGATGTTTTTTCGGTGAGATGGTTTTGCGGAAGTGGGATAATTGCACAAAAACTACACAAATCTATAAAGTCAGTGGCCTTTAATGTGGTGCTGACAAAATATTAACTACAGAGGGATACACCATACCCTACTCAATAATAAAACAGCTAATGCAGTCTGTATTCCATTCAATAAATCAACATTTCTTTTGATTTGCGATGTATTCAGTGTTTTTATTCAGATTCATGTAGCATTAGGATGGTAAACACATAAACAGAATTTAAAAATGTCAACGACAACAATAATATTACTAATGATATTAAAAGGATCGTTGAGGGTCAATAATCGCTATATATACTAAGATAATAGAAATAAAATAATAAGAAAGAAAGAAAAAGAAAGAAAATGAAAGAAGAAATATTGTGCTGGAGGCACTACCAAACATCCACTAAAGGGGTCGCTGTCTCACTTTACTCAATATGAGAGGAATGACCTCTGACCCTTTGTTTACGTGGAAGGAGAGCTGTTCGTGCTTCCGGGTTTTATTTCTGGAGTTACCTGCTCAGTTTTAAAGAGATGGCTACGGTACCGGCCCAGTCTCTCCGGGTCTCGGAAATTAAAGACCCCACCGCTTTATTTGAACGCTACAGTACGGATGAGATCCGCGCTATCGAGAGGAAAGTGCGCGGAGAGATAGAACAGAAGAAGGAGGAACTTCGACAGATGGTCGGTGAACGTTACCGGGATTTGATCGACGCTGCTGACACGATCGGCGAGATGAGACAGTGCTCGGAGAGTGTCGTTCAGTCCATCCAGGACATGTTCCGGTACTGCAACAAACTGAAACAGTCCAAACACGCCCCTCAGTCCAGCGGCAAAGCTGAGGTAAAGCTCTTGTGCTGCTCTCGTTCTGGAGTACTGGGACAAAACAGCCTGCTAAAATTACAATAATAACGTTTATGTATTTTTTATTCTTACTGAATTTACTCAGTTTGGTCAGAGATTCTCGCCTACATGAGTGCAACTTGCTGCTTTAATTTTCTCGTCGCTCAATATGGGTCCACACCGCCAGATACAAACACAATATGTCAAATGTTCGTTATAAACAAATATAGCTTTCACTTCTTTGAAATAATGTCTCAAGACTACAGGATTCAATCTATTCGCTATCCGCAGCTCCATCTATTAAATTGCCACCATTGTCAGAAATAAAATCACAATGTTGACAAGATATGACATGATCCCTCAGAAATCCTTATAATATGTTCATTTGCTGCTCAATACATTTCTTATTATTTGCAAAGCTGAAAACAGTTGTGCTGCTTAATATTTTTTTCAGGATTCTTTGATGAATACGTTTTTTTTTTAACAATCTATTTGAAATAGAAATCTTTTACAAGATTTGTAATTTTTCATATTAATTTCTTTAAGAAAAATCTTACTGACTTCAAACTTTAGAAAGATATATATATATAGAGAGAGAGAGAGAGAGAGACTTAGTACTTTCATTTTACTGTATACAGATATATAGACTCTATATGCTATATACTTCTACTCTTATGTATATTTGTGTTAAATGTCTATTTACATGTTTCTGTGCTTTGGCAATGTAAAGATACTTTTTTACCATGCCAATAAAGCTACTTGAATCTGAATCTGAATCTGAGAGAGAGAGAACTTATCAGGTTATGTGTAAATACTGTAAATCCATGCCTCAATTCTTTATTGGTGTCCAGTTTCTATCAATATACTACAAATCCCTAAAGTCATAACTCAATTTAGATGTTCATGAGATGTGTTGGCAATGTGTTTTTGTTCCTGGCAGGGTCAGAAACAGTCACAGGAGAAATTCTACACAATGGCATCACAGATAAAGCTCCTTCTGGAAATCCCTGAGCGTGTGTGGAGCGCGATGGAGTCCTCGCAGTACCTGCAGGCCACGCAGCTCTACCTGCTGTGCTGTCACCTTCACAGCCAGCTACACTTGGAGGGCAGAGGGCATCAATACAGCCCCGTCCTCTCTCACTTCCCCATCCTGGTGCGCCAGGTAGCAGCTGCTGGTCATTTCAGGTGCGTTATTGAATCACATAACCGTATAAGGGATAGTTCACCCAAAAACGAAAATTAAGTCATCATTTACTCACCCTCGTGTTGTTCCAAACCCATGAGACACACATTAATAGTCATATGAGATTATTAATTAGATGCATGCTATTTTTAATATATTCATAAGATTCGTTTTACAGTGCCTTTATATCCTTTTTGCATCTTTTATGTTTTAATTACCTGGACTTTCAGTCGGGGAACAGAAACCTCTTAGGTTTCATTAAAGTTACTTTGATTAGTTTTTGGACGATTAACCAAAGTCTTACAGGTTTGGAATGACATGAGGATGAGTAAATG